TAGGCATCAGATCATAATACGAGTACTCGCCCAAATACTTGGCACCAATGGTATTATCATTATCGGTGCATCCCTACATCAAACCCAAGGCCCAGTTGACCAGGATACCATTTAGCCACGCCCACTCCACCCTGTCAATGGCCTTTTCTGTATCTAAACTTAGAAGAACCGCCCTTGGATTATGGCTCTGTGAAGACATCACAGTCGCAGCAATTGCTCTATTAATTCCTACCATCGAATGTCTATTTTGCACAAAACCCAATTGGTGAAGTATAGCGGGGGCGGGGGGCAGGGAATGTGCCTCCCAGGTACTGACTGGGGCGGGAGGGTGGCGTTCAGGTTTTTGAGCAGGCTTAGGCGAACTGGGTTCACACCAATCCAAACCTCATTACTACTCACCTGTGGACACCAAGCCAATCCATTTCACCTGACCCAAGTGATCCCAGGCGAACCGAGCCGGCGCAACAGTGTTAATGACACATCTCCCTCCCGATCCCATCAGCTGCGGCCAGGGTATCCCCCGCCCCCTATGTTACGCGCAGCAGGATAAGGAATGTGCCTGCTACAACTCATTGGGTCAGGAGGGCGATGTGTCACTGACAGTTTTGGCGAACTTGGTTTCCACCAAGTTCACCAAATAGACCCCCACAGAACCCCCTACATCCCTATCGATGAAGCAGCTAGGCGCGAACAGTTGCCAGGGGCGGTAGCATTGCACTCCTGTGGCCAATTGATAAACACCTCAATAAAATAGACATTATTACCTCTTCCTCAGGATGTAGACACACTTCACATACAAGGCAACTGCTGGAAACACAGGTAACTTCTGACAACTAGTCTGCTTTCTTCTGCCCATCCCCGCCTGACACTCTGCGCATGCGCCTGACTACAGCAGCCAGGAAGCGTCTAACCATAGTGGAACGCACACTGCAGCCGCTGCTGGAGGTTGGCTCCGCTGTTGCCTAGCAACATTCCGGGCTGGTTATTGGAGCGTTCTATGCGGAGCTAACGCTAGAGGCGCAAAATACCTTCAATGTATTAAGCCAGCGGCCATTTTCTCGTAGCGCAGAAGGCTGCTTCGGCAAATACTACAGCCGTTTATAAAAAAAAAAGTATATAGTGCAGTTAATAATTATTGAAGTGCAAATAGTATGATCGTTTAAGGTTCAGCACTGGTTCTTTATTGGTTTAATTTGGTTCCTTATAAACCGTCATACATTGTAAAGTAGCAGTTTCCTTAGTGAAGGAAGGTCGCCATTTTGTTGTAGTCCTCAGTTGTAGGGATTTAAGGAAGGAATTCTTGTTATGTTAGAAGTCTTTTGGTATGTGTAAATGTTTGTGTTAATTGAATAGGGGAAAATTTAATTTTCTTTCCTCTTTTTAGTCAGGTACATATGAAATATTGCATAGTTGGTGCAGTTCTCCCTTACCTTCGTTGAACCATTTTACCACTTTACTGTGAATAGCCTTTAATTCAGGGGTGGGCAACTATGGCCCTCCAGCTGTGTTTTAACCACAAATCCCATCATGCCTCTGGGAGTCATTTCTGGGACTGTCAGAGTCTTGAAACTTGAACCTATAGTTCCACAGCAGCTGGAGGGCCGCAGTTGCCCACCCCTGCTTTATTTTGACCACCTTTGATCTGCAGAGCAAGAAACCAGTTTCAATTTTAGGGCTGCATAAGACATTTAAAGTCTATCTCCGGGCCTTGATGTTATCACCTGCAGACTCTCCTCTGGATCTTGAGAGGACCCAGGCACTGGACAGCCAATAGGAAGTGTCCATGTTACGTTGGCGCTGACACCCAAAGTAGAACCCCATCTTCTGTGCATGGAAGAACGGGGTAGACAACAAACCTGAATGTCATGTGACCAAGTATTTAGGTAGAGATGACCCCACAGAAGTGTTTGGGGTTAACCTGCCAAGACATGGCTGGTGGAAAAGATTTTGGCAGAGGGGGACTGATAATTGTTGCAAGCTGGGGACAATTCAGGTAAATATACATCTGGAAAAGGGGGGGTTCTGTATATATAGAGGGGAATTTATCAAAACGGGAGCAGACAGAACCTGGAGCAGTTGCCCACAGTAACCAATCAGCTTCTCTCTTTAATTTCCAAAGCTTAACTGAACTGACGATGGAAGCTGATTGGTCACTATGGGCAACTGCTCCAAATTCTGTTTGCTCCAGTTTTACATTTGTCCAACTGTCTTCAGTGCAGTCGCGTGCCATAGAGACCTCTTCTGTCTTCCAGCAGAAGTGGTCCTGAATGCTGCAGAGAACGATTGTATGTGATGACCAGGGACCATTCCCTGCAGCATCCTCCCGGGACCCCCCAGGCAGCTTAGTCTCCAGGGGGCAGGTCCTTGACACCCTGTGCTCACAGCAAGAGTTTTTGGGAGATGGCCGTCACAGGACCACTGTTTAAGGTCAAGTTGGCTTGGAGAGGGAAAGTACTGCTTACCTGACTTTTCCTTTTCTTATCCACCCTACTCACTCCCCATTTTAAAATGGCGCTGGGATAGAAGGAGCCAGATATTACAAGCATTAATCTGTGCAGATGAACCCAGGTCACCGCACACGGGGCGAACAAGCCCCTAATCTGTATTAAACATGGATCAAATAATAGGATATTCACAGCAATGCGGTAAAATGGTTTAGCGAAGCTGATGAAGTACTGACTCAACTGTGCCATCCCCTGCCTGTATTAGGCCCATTGTGTTCCCAGCAGGAAGCAGGTATTTCCAGCACTCCCTCCATGACTCCTGGTATCAGTAGCCCAGAAATATGCATCGTTAAAGTGGACCCATACTTTTCCCTTACTTGTGAAGCATATGTAATACATATTGTAAGGGGGGTGGGCTCAACCGGTATTGGCTTTGATAAATCATACACCAGACAGGGACACCCAGGAACAGTAGAAGCAGGTTTATCCTGCAACTTTATTCAGCAAGGCAGCAAACAAACACAGTTTCAATGTAGGAGGGCCGTGTACAGCATAAAACTAGAAGCAGTTGCCTTGGGCACTTCAGCAAGATGGCGGCACAAAACAGTTGTGCCTGCCAATTTTGTTTCTGAGGTAGTTGACGGATCATGGTGGGGCTGCACTTTGTTTTTGCCTTGGATGCTAAAGGCACTAGACCCAGCACAGGTTTCTTCTCCTTGTGTCTCCTACGCTCAGTAGGGAACCACCATGCCTTGAACTCCTGTATGGCTTTTCAAAACAGGTAGTTCCCTTCACGTCGGTGGATCCTGCCTTGGGCTGGTTTTCTGATTCAGACACCATTTACATGCTGCTATGCCTTCACCACCGAGAAAAAGTGGGAGTCCTATGGTAGGAAAGGTAGTCTTGCCCCGGTTCTGGATCATGCGAAGAGCCTTGACCTTGCTTGTGCTGCTTCTCTTTAAGACAATGCCTAGGGAACTGGCTCTTCTCAACCAGTAGTTTCCGGTCTGAGAGTAGAGGTTCACACATTGACTGTAGGTGCACCTCAGATCTTTGCTTGGCCGGCAGAGATAATTGCTGGTTGGCCTGGTGCCTCCCTAGATTGTCAGCAGGCAGAATACACTAGTCTCCCACGGCAGGTATTCTCGGCTGAGGACAGAGTATGTCTTGTTGCCTTGGTAAGACCTATCCTCCTAGGGTTAGGTCATCCATCCTTGGTGGATCTGGAGCCAATCAGTGAGGGTTCTTTGGATCCCTTCCGTAGTTTTGTTCTCATCAGCTGAGCACTCTTACCAGTATTGCCAAGATTCATGTCTCTTGCACCATGGCAACTTACACTGAGCTGGATCTGGGGGATTAGGTGCTTTCTTAGACCTACTGTCAGAGAAATGCAGCAAGCAGTCATAGAACTGGTACTGTGAGAGCCATTGCGCATGTGTGTGTGAGACATTTTCGTGCTGGTAATTCTCGTAATTGTGCGCATGCGCGCAGACGCTAATGCGCACGTTCACTCACGGCGCCAAAAGGCCTATTTAAACTTGCATCTTGCATGCACTCGGAGTTCTTCAGCTAGTGCCCTGCTTCCTGTGTCTCTTTTCCTGATTCTGCTGTTCCTGATATTGACCCGGCTTGTTCTTGGACTCTGTTGATTGCTGCATGCCCCTGACCTTGGCTTGATCTGGACCTTCCTTCCGTTTGCTGATTGCACTCTGCTTTGACCGGCACATTACCGACCCGGCCTGCTCCTGACCCTGCCTCAGTTTGCTGATTTGTACCTCGCTGCCTGGCTGATCGTGACCCGGCTTGTTCCTTACTTCGGCTCTGCACCGGTGCCAGCTTCACCCATTGCTGACATCATATTCCAGTAAGTGACTGCCATCATCTTCCTTCAGACTGGTCCACCTGCATCCCCAGCTCCGGGTGTTTCCACTTCATCAGGCACTCGTGCCCCTCTTCCAGCCCTACACTCTCTGTCCATCATTACCAGGGGTGTTTCTCCGAGAAGAGTTGGTTACCCAGTGGACTTCAAGGGACGAGAACTTGTGCACAGAGTGGTGTTTGGCAATGCAGGCACTGAGAAAGGGGAACGAGGAGACTGAAACTGAAAAGTGTTGGTTATCCTACTTCAAGGGACATTCATGTGTGAATGGAGTGGTGTTTGGCGGTGCGGACCCTGGTTCAGTCTTGTTGCTTCCTTGGTTACATCTCGACCCATAACCTCCTCATAGATGAACTGGAATGCTCATTCATGTCTTCTCATCTAACATCAGTACCTGACCTCCCAAATGCTCTTTTAGCTGAAAGGACACAAATTTCCACAGGCACACTCCAAAATCTTGTGCAAAGCCTCATTAGAAGAGTGGACCTAAAAAGGAGGCACAACTTCACATTAATGTCCATGGTATTGGCTTGTGATGTCCAACCAGTTCATATACTGTAGGTGTGATGGTCAGGTATCCCCACACCTTTGGGTATACAGTGTATTTCATCCCTGCTGTAAGCTGTTGCTTGGAACTCCACTCTAAAAATTGAGAAAACTGACGCACAGTCCACATCTTATGTCCCGTAAGAGCTGAGATGTGACATAAGGGTGGATTTCCTCGTAAACCGTTTCCCGCATTCAGAACAGGCATATGGCTGAACGCCAGTGTGGACCCTCTCATGTCTAACCAGATTTGATTTCTGTGTAAACCCTTTGCCGCACTCTGAACACGAATACGGATGGTGGTTGATGTGAGTTATCTGGTGTGCGGAAAGGTTTCCTTTATTGGCAAAACATTTTCCGCACTCCAAGCATGAGAAAGGCTTGGCCCCCGTGTGAGTCCTCTGGTGCGAGACAAGGGACGCCCGCCAGGTAAAACGTTTGCCACACTCCGAACAGGTATACGGCTTTTCTCCCGTGTGCACTCGTTCGTGTATGGAAAGCAGCGCCCTCTCAGTAAACCTCTTCCCGCACACACCGCAGGAATATGGCTTCTCCCCTGTGTGGCTCATCTGGTGCTTGATTAATAGGTCCTTCCACGCGTAACACTTCCCGCAGTCTGAACAAGAAAATGGTTTCTCAGCCGTGTGGCTCCGGCGGTGAGTAGCCAGGTCGGACTTTTGCCTGAAACACTTGCTGCACTCTGAACAGGGAAAGGGCTTCTCCCCGGTGTGAATCCTCTGGTGTATGACGAGTTTGTCTTTCGCAGAAAAACACCTCCCGCACGCTGAGCAGGAAAATGGCTTCTCTCCAGTGTGAACCCTTTTGTGCTTGGTCAGAGTCGATTTACGGGTAAAGCATTTGCCACATTCGCGGCACGAGAATTCCTTCTCCGCGTGAGACCTCCGGTGTGAAAGAAGTTGTGTTCTGTCGGTAAAATGGGCGCCACACTCGGTACAATGGAACATTTCCACTCCTCTTTGAGCTGGATGGTGGTCTGGAAAGCTATAAATAAAGGGATTGGAGGATCGATTGGTGCTGTGATGCTCTGGATGGAGAATGGATGGAAAGAGCTTCTCTTCTATAGAATAACATCCAACGGCATCATTTTCTATTGCAGCTTTCGGGGAGATAACGGAACATTTCTCTTCATCCTTACTGCTCTGCAGTCCATCTAGAAGAAAGAAGACATGGTCAACAGCAGTCTAATAGAAGCTCTCCCGCTGGGCACATACCGTCCCCCCATTACTGTCTACTGACAGAAGAGGGGGGAGAAGAAGAGATTGTTGTAGTGAATGAACAAGGAGAATCTGGGACTCTTTTCTGGATGTTTATTCCTCACCTGTGCTGACCTCTGGAGAACATTCCTCCTCCTTACACGGCTCATCAACCCTCACATACGGCTCTTCTGTTTCTTCTTTCACTTCAACTTTAACAACAATCACATTTTCATCCTGAATAATACAAAGTAATAAAAATAGCCAAATATACATAAAAAAGTACTATCATATAACATATAAAATATAAACATGCAACTGTATAAAAAAAAATCATCTAGTAATTCCTTTCTGCCACAAGATGTCACCAGTCCTCCGGGTTGAATGACAGAGTTCCACAGAGTTCCACAGAGCCCAGGCTGTCAAGGACACGCCCCCTGGGCTGATGTCACTGCAAAGCTTTGGCTCAAAGTCTTATTACTCTAAACAGTGCTTACATATCAGTACATAAATACTGTTCAGTGTAGCGGTGAGGACTACCTACTGCTGCTGGAGAAGAAGAAGCGCCCAAGATGTCAGCAGCCTGTCCAGAAGACCTGTAGGAAAAACAGGTATAACAACCTTTCTCGAATTTTTCACAGGTAAAGGAACCTTTAAAATAATTTCCAGGTCTCAGGGACATTTTTTCCAGTAATTATTATAAAACGAATGCGCAGGAATGAATGATATCCAGATAAGAAAAGCAGAGAGTGAAACTGTTAGCGTGCCCTAACGTTGGATGTCAGCATAAAAGGCCCTACCTTTACATTGGTGGTCAATGGAAAAGGGCCCTCATACATTGATAGTCAATGGAATAAGCACCTGCCTAAATTAATGGCCAGTGAGGAAGGCCCTCTCAATGTTGGTGGTCATGGTAGTGCTCCCTTACATTGGACTTCAGTGGAAAAGGCCCTACGCATATAATGGTGGCCAGTGGGGAAGGCACTCTCAATGTTGGCGGTCATGGTAGTGCTCCCTTACATTGGACTTCAGTGGAAAAGGCCCTACGCATATAATGGTGGCCAGTGGGGAAGGCACTCTCAATGTTGGCGGTCATGGTAGTGCTCCCTTACATTGGACTTCAGTGGAAAAGGCCCTACGCTTATAATGGTGGCCAGTGGGGAAGGCCCTCTCAATGTTGATGTCATATGATGACAGCTCTCTCAATGTTGGTGTCCTTTCTTTTTTTTTTTATTCAAGTTTTTTTAGTGCGTATACAAAAGTAAAGGTCAACAATAACATTAGTTGGAAAGCAATTAAACCATCATACAATTTTATACCTATCTAGTTAATAGAATAATTTGACAATTGTTGGTGTCCTTTCAATGTTGGACCTACCCTTACATAGGTGGTCAATGGAGAAGTGCCTCCTTACATTGATGGTCAGTGGAAGAGGTACTCACTGAAATTGGTGGCCAGTGGGGAAGGCCCTCTCAATGTTGGTGGTCATAGTCGTGCTCCCTTACATTGGATGTCAGTGGAAAAGACCCTACGCTTACAATGGTGGCCAGTGGGGGAAGGCCCTCTCAATGCTGGTGGTCATGGTAAGGCTCCCTGACATTAGTGGTCAGTTGGAGATGGGCCTTCTTATATTGATGGTCAGAGGAAAGAAGAATACCCCTTACACAGATGGTCAGTTTGAAGTATGTTCCTTACATTTGGGGTCAATTTGAAGAATGCTCCTTACTTTGGTGGCCAGTGGGAAGAATGTCACTCTTAAAGCTAAAAAGATTACTGTCAAGTAATGTTGGAACTATGCAGGTGCCATCAGACAGGTGGTCAAATTTGCCACTGCTCACTACAGAAGGAATCCTTAGCAACTTCTGGAGGAACCCTAGGGTTCTGTGATTGATAATGGATGATATACACTCACCGGCCACTTTATTAGGTACGCCTGTTCAATTGCTTGGTAACACCAATTGCTACAATCAGATGGTCGTGTCAGAATTTGGCATAAACAACATGAAAGCATGGATCCATCTTGCATTGTATGTATATAACGGTTCAGGCTGGTGGTGGTGGTGGTGTAATGGTGTGGGGGATATTTTCTCAGCACATTTTGGGCCTGTGGTGCTATCATGTCAATATGGACCAAAATCTCTGAGGAATTTTTCCAACGCCTTGTTGAATCTATGCCACGAAGAATGAAAGCAGTTCTGAAGGCAAAAGGGGGTCCAACCCAGTACTAGCAAGGTGTACCCAATAAAGTAGCCGGTAAGTGTATATTATATATACAGTATGTATGATATTTGCAGATAGATTTCCTCTTTAACTCCCTATACTTCTCTCTTTACAAATCTCCTCTGTGCATTATTTTGAGAAAACACTCAGTCCCATCTACCTGATCCTCCCGATGTTCCTGAGGGATCTCATGATGTTCTTGTATGGAATCCCGGGAATACAGAGGATGGGGACATCCTTCTGGCGTATTTCTGTTCCTGGACACCTCTGTATGAAACAAACACATTGACACAAATGTGATGTTATAATGTTTTTTAAAAGGAAACAGACTGGCGCAAAGCAGTCTGTGCAAGCCCAACTATTTCAGCTAAAAGGCAAACACTGTAACCTGGATAGTCCAACCGTGGCAAGACAAGTGTGATTGAGGAGCTTTGACATGTTAGTTGAGATGCCTGCAACAAAGCCACCTTAGTAGGATTAGTTACTCTGACCAAAGGACAGCTAATGGTGGACCACCATTATTATAATGTATAAGTGTGAGGACTGCTCCATCCCATCTCCCTCCTGACAGAGCCATATTGATATATTCTGCTTTGATGTGTATATTCCTCACCTGCGTTGATCTCCAGAGGAACTTCCTCCTCTTTGATCCTCACACGTCCTTCTTCTTCTTCTTCCTCAGCTTTGACGTCTCTCTGAGTGTCCCTGGGATCTGTGAATAGAAATGAGAGTGAAGCCCCCTGTACTGAGATGTATGAGAGACCCCAGAAGTGTATGTGGGGGGAGACTGGTCACATCTCTTGGCTGGTAACACACAATGACATGATGTGAGGAGGAGAGCCGGAGTCTAATAGAGGCTGATGGCTCCTGACTCCCCCCACTAAACACATTGCGTCCCCCCATTACTGTCTACTGACAGAGGAGGGGGGAGAAGAAGAGATTGTTGTAGTGACTGAACAAGGAGAATCTGGGACTCTTTTCTGGATTTAGTGTTTATTCCTCACCTGTGCTGATCTCTGGAGGGATTTCCTCTTCTTTACACAGCACATCACCCCTCATATACGGCTCTTCTGTTTCCTCTTTCACGTTAGCTTTGACCGGAATCCAGCTGCCACTCTGGAAAATACAAAATACCAATAGGTTAAAAATATAATAAATGCTTTATCTCTTTCCTCTGGTCATCGTCCTTATAGGTCACAAAGGATAATCTCCCCGTGTAAGAGACTTACCTGCAGATGGACTCCTGCTCAAAAATGTGCATGCACACAAGTATGCAATCCATTTCCCAAAGTTCTTGGAAAATGCGCTTTAGCACGTGAACGCGTGCATACGGGAACGTTTATGCGCAATATCGCAGGTACGTGAGCGCGCAGAAACGCTCTTGTTAGTGTACAGGTGGACGCTCATTAGCGTGCACACTATCCTATTTAAACAGACATGAAGCCATGACCAAGTTGCTGAGTGGTCTTCAGCTTGTCCCTGTGTGCCCTGTACTCTGTTCTTGTATCCTGACGTCCTGTGTATGAACCCAGCTTTTGACCAATTGACTCCGCCTCCTCCTCCTGATTTGGTACCTCTGATCTCTGATCTCCTGTGTATGACCCTGGCTTACGTTTCCTGACCCTGCTGCTGATCTGTGATTCGGCACCTGAAGATTCGGCTCCCTGTGTATGACCTCGGCTTGAACCTGACTTGCCTCCTGGTCTGCCACTTGGTGGATCGCTCCGTCAGCATCCCGAGCAACAACATCCTGCCAGCGCTTCCTTGGCCTCATACCCGTTGCCTGCTCAGGTTTCAAGAGGTCCCGGTGTCACCTCGGTCCAGCTGATTCACCAGCTGGTCCAATGCACTCCAGCGCCTCCTTAAGAACCAGCCAGACACCTGTGCTCCGCTCTGTCCTTACATCTCCTGTCCTTACTTCCAGAGGTGTGGGAGGAGAGGTGCACAGGCAGCCCCCTTCTCAGCTGAGTCTCCAGTCAGGTATGTGATACCCCGTATTATTTAAACCATCCCTGGGAAGTCTAATGTTTTTTTTCTGAATATGGTCAACCCACCCCTGTACCTCTCTTCTGTCCATAGAAATCCCTCACTGAAGTCCAGGTGATGTCATCTCCCAACACACCGATCCTCAGCTTCCGATGGTGTAAAGAGGAGGAGTCTGCAGGGTGCCCGACTTGCTATAGGTAAAACCTACAGAGCTGGTAGGGGGCGCTGATGAGACTTGTCACCAGTTAGCTGGCTTGGGTGATCGGTCTTCTCAACAGGAAATGCTATTCTTTTAAAGCCGGGACAACAGATTTATATGTTACAAATCTTTTCCCAGCAAAAGTAATCTTTATTTTTGTAATTCCCCCGTAAACGGAAGCTGCCCGGCAGTCATTCTTTCTGCCACTAGACATCCGCAGTCTTCCAGGTTGACTGACAGCAAGCGACATTCATCCCACTTGCTCTGAACCCAAGCTGTCATGGACACACCTCCTGGGGGGGTATCTTAAAACTGCCTTATACTGTGGCACCCATTCCCCATCCGAAATCACTGGACCCCCCCAATAAAAAAAAAGAAACCTTAGACTGCGGCTTTGCAACCTGTTCGCCTACGTGAGGGTGAGGTCATTGGGATCCCGGCAAAGCTATCGATCCCAAATCTCAGGAGAGTTCGCTGCGCTGATCCTCGGCTGTCCCAGAATTCCAGGCGAGGATTGACATCATTCTTGCCCCTGGAAGCTGGAGTTCATTTTTCTAAGGTCTTGCAATTTAAGATGGGGGGGAGACACAATAAAGAGCAGGGGTGGGCAAACTCTTGCCCTCCAGCTATGGTGAAACTACAAATCCAATTATGCATCTGTCTCTGGGAGCCAGGCCTTGTGGCTGTGATGGGCAGATGAAAGGCAGCACACACTAGCTGTTGACATTGAAAGGGTTAAATGGCCCTTATATACACCTGCTGTGAGATGTTGTGATCTTCCTGTAGGGAATTCTGGGGATAAGGATTCTCCATCATGGCGTCCGTCCTCGTGTCCTTCTTAAATACGTCTATGGATCCATATGCTGCAAATATTTTGGCTTGTAAGGGTCAATCTGTAACAAAAACAAAAAAATCAGAGTAAAAGAAAAGAAATAAACTGGATAAAAGACAGAGAGCCCGAAAGGTAAACAGTTTGGTGCAGCCAGACGAAGGAAAAGCTTCAACTGAGCTCAATAGCTCAGGCGGGGCGGCTCCCATACAGCAAGGCTTCCCTCGTTGGCGACAGTAGCTCAAACTATACATAAAGGACCAAATAAGGATAAAAGAGACCAAGATCATTTATAAATGTAAACTGGTCTTAAAAAAACAACCAACGCATTTCAGGGGCAAAACCACTCCTCCTCTATCAGGGCTCAGCACAGGATAAACGTGGAAGGCGTCCTAGAAAACGGGTCGAATGTGAGCACCAAATCAGGTGATAAGAGCCCCAAAAATGTAACAAACATCTGATGACATCCAGAATACAAATACAGCCAACGCGTTTTGGGGCTTAAAGAAGGCGAGCCTATGGAAGGACTCACAGAGCTGAATGCAGAATTGTGCTGACAAGGACTGGACAGTTGTTTATGTTGCTGTCAGCTGTCTGAGTCCTTCCATAGTCAGCCAGCCGTGGAAGTATCAGATTGGAGGTAAACCTGGTGAATATTAGTCAGGTGATCCAAGCACACCAGGGACCCGATCTTCAGTCAATGTGCAGCTCAGCTGGGGCAAACCCCATATTTTATAAACAGTTACAGAAATCCACCCAGTGAACTACATCATAGATCAGGGGGACCTGCAGGAAGATGATGATTTGTCAGGGTCACATGATGAGAGTGAGAGAGTGCTAATAATAAGAAGACATTATTACCTCCTCACTGGGCACACACTCTCCAGCCTTACTGACACACACTGCAGACTATACAGAAATGTTCCCCAGTTGAGCTACAACAAAATGGCTGCGCATCTGACCTCTGGCAGTCAAATCACTCTGCGCATGTGCACGTCACCAGACAGTAAGGATCAGTGAAACACATAGACCGGAAATTACGGAAACAGTCAATTTCAATCAAAAAGTTGCAAGGAAGTATATCGTATAACACAATTGATAGTTTGTCTGTTATTGACGAAAGGACGGCGGCCATTTTGTTGTAGTCCGAGGAAGGCGTCCAAAATGTGAAGATGCTCCTGGTGGGATTGTGAGGCTGGAGAGTGTACCCAGTGAGGATGAGGTAATAATAATGTATTCTCATTATGAGAGAAGGGGTCTAAGCACTCTTTTTTTTTAGACTGTTTTGGGGTGGACCAAGATACATTTAAAGGGAACCTGTCCCTGAGAAGATTTTGCAAAGGGATATCATCAAACAAGTAAAGGTAAGGTAGGGTCATTCTTTTCTTTCGGGGTGTGTATGGTCCCCCAAACCTGAAGCATATATTTTATCTTTGTGACCTGTATCCTCGGTCTTTTGTGAAGCGTTCCATTGCAGTGTTATAATGCGACACGGACTACTCAGTTAACCTATCGAGGGTGCCGAGGTTACACAGTTAGCTAACAGAAGGTGTATAATGGCAAGGTTAGGCATCTCCGGCCTTCCAACTGTAGTTTAACTACAAATCCCAACATGCCTCTGCGAGTCATGCCTGTAACTGTCAGTCTTGCAATGCCTCATGGGACTTGTAGTTCCACAACAGCTGGATGGTCTCCGTAGCTGCAGGAGCATCACAGGCTGTAGGTAATGCACTAAAGGAAGGCAACAATGCTGTAGACCAGTTACCCTACACAAGAGAGAGAGAGCAGCAGTGAGCGGTCTTTATTATAGGAGGGGTAGGAGGGGGCGGAGACAAGACCGGTCACCCTGCACAAAGAGAGAGACCAGCAGTGAGCAGTCTTTATTACAGGAAGCTCCAAGTCTCGCACTGGATTTCTGCACAGATCTGGAAGAAATACACAAAGGTCACGGAGATTCCAGGAAGAATACACATGCCTCTTGGTTTTGGATGATATCTGCTTATCCCGGGACCATCACTTACATTTCCAGTCAGGAAGGCAGTTGTTCTTCTACATAGATATAAAGGAAGCTGTACCGTCAGATTGAACCGTGTATGGTCAGCGGATTTTGGTCGGATCGCTATGACAACAGGATTTCTTCTGCTGCTGTATGTAAATATAAATCTGTTTCATTATTTATTTAGAATCCAAAAATGATGAGAGGTGCCGGGTGGAGATTTGGCAAGACCGACGCTTGGCGTCTGATCTCTACTGGCGAGGGAAATGCCGGTACTAAAGAAGGCTTCTGATAATCCAGAATAGGTAAGACTGACATAGGGGAACATGGGGGAGCTCCTGGTGATGGGGGAGATACCGGGACATTCTGGGGAAATACAATGGGGTCATTTATGAATGGTGCACACACTCTGACTGCACACATGTATACTAACAAACACACACTTATCTCTCTGCTGTCATGGCTGCTCTGGGTGCCTCTCCGTCCTCCTTCTTTACCCTGGGCCCACTGCTCTTCATTTTCCCGCACACTGTTCTTCCTTTTACCGCCTACTGCTCCTCCTTCTCCCACCCACTGCTCTTCCTTTCCTTTCCCCACCCACTGCTCCTTCTCCTCCCACCCACTGCTTCTCCTTTTCCCGCCCACTGCTCCTTCTCTTCTCTTTCTTTCCCCCCCCACTGCTCCTTCTCCTCCCACCCACTGCTCTTCCTTTCCCCGCCCACTGCTCCTTCACCTCCCACCCACTTCTTCTCCTTTTCCCACCCACTGCTCTTCCTCTTCCCACCCACTTCTCCTCCCATACACACTGCTCCTCCTCCCACCCACTGCTCTTCCTTTCCCCACCCACTGCTCCTTCTCCTCCCACCCACTGCTTCTCCTTTTCCCGCCCACTTCTCCTCCCATACACACTGCTCTTCCCTCTCCCACCCACTGCTCTTCCTCTCCGCCCACTGCGCTTCCTCTTCCCACCCACTTCTCCTCCCACCCACTGCTCTTCCTTTCCCCACCCACTGCTCTTCCTTTCCCCACCCACTGTTCCTTCTCCTCCCACCCACTGCTTCTCCTTTTCCCGCCCACTGTGCTTCCTCTTCCCACCCACTTCTCCTCCCACCCACTGCTCTTCCTTTCCCCCCCCACTGCTCTTCCTTTCCCCACCCACTGCTCCTTCTCCTCCCACCCACTGCTCTTCCTTTCCCCCCCCACTGCTCTTCCTTTCCCCACCCACTGCTCCTTCTCCTCCCACCCACTGCTCTTCCTTTCCCCCCCCACTGCTCTTCCTTTCCCCACCCACTGCTCCTTCTCCTCCCACCCACTGCTCTTCCTTTCCCCCCCCACTGCTCTTCCTTTCCCCACCCACTGCTCCTTCTCCTCCCACCCACTGCTCTTCCTTTCCCCCCCCACTGCTCTTCCTTTCCCCACCCACTGCTCCTTCTCCTCCCACCCACTGCTCTTCCTTTCCCCCCCCACTGCTCTTCCTTTCCCCACCCACTGCTCCTTCTCCTCCCACCCACTGCTCTTCCTTTCCCCCCCCACTGCTCTTCCTTTCCCCACCCACTGCTCCTTCTCCTCCCACCCACTGCTCTTCCTTTCCCCCCCCACTGCTCTTCCTTTCCCCACCCACTGCTCCTTCTCCTCCCACCCACTGCTCTTCCTTTCCCCCCCCACTGCTCTTCCTTTCCCCACCCACTGCTCCTTCTCCTCCCACCCACTGCTCTTCCTTTCCCCCCCCACTGCTCTTCCTTTCCCCACCCACTGCTCCTTCTCCTCCCACCCACTGCTCTTCCTTTCCCCCCCCACTGCTCTTCCTTTCCCCACCCACTGCTCCTTCTCCTCCCACCCACTGCTCTTCCTTTCCCCCCCCACTGCTCTTCCTTTCCCCACCCACTGCTCCTTCTCCTCCCACCCACTGCTCTTCCTTTCCCCCCCCACTGCTCTTCCTTTCCCCACCCACTGCTCCTTCTCCTCCCACCCACTGCTCTTCCTTTCCCCCCCCACTGCTCTTCCTTTCCCCACCCACTGCTCCTTCTCCTCCCACCCACTGCTTCTCCTTTTCCCGCCCACTGAGCTTCCTCTTCCCACCCACTTCTCCTTCTCCTCCCACGCACACTGCTCTTCCTTCTCCCACCCACTTCTCTTCCTTTTCCTGCCTGCTGCTCCTTCTCTTCCCACCCACTGCTCTTCCTTCTCCCGCCCACTGCTCTTCCTTTCCCCGCCCACTGCTCCTTCTCCTCCCACCCACTGCTTCTCCTTTTCCCGCCCACTGTGCTTCCTCTTCCCACCCACTTCTCCTTCTCCTCCCACGCACACTGCTCTTCCTTCTCCCACCCACTTCTCTTCCTTTTCCCGCTCACTGCTCCTTCTCCTTGGTGTGATTTTGGCGCGTTATTTATTGCAATTTTATTTTCCAGGCGATCGTACAAGTGTAGGCTCCGATGGATCATCACGAGGACGGCACGGTGGAGGAGGGTCCATCTCTGGGTAAGAAGAGACTTTAACCCTTTTGTGACCAGTGATGTACACAGCACATCGCTGGCAGGGGGCCATTCAAACAGACTCTGTTTACATTTGTAAAGCCAATTGTCGGCTTTACAATAGAAGCGATTCTGGCGACTCAGCTGTCACCAGATCGCTTCCACGGGCTGGTAAACTGCCCGCCCCGCCTGAAACCCCCGTTGTGTTTCCGAGGCTTAGCTGCCCCTCCTGCAGGCCCAGGACTGGCATCTCGGGTGCCGGCCTGAAGCTGGGGAGGAGAGTGGCGAACGTCCGTTCACCAATCTCATCCCCACACTATGGGACCGGGAGCGATGCAGATCACTTCTGGTCCCATAGCTGTCAGTGCTGGGCTCCTGCGATCTGCATGTTAATAGCCTATTTCTAGTGTAAAGGTGACACTGGGGGTCTTTTGGACCCCCAGTATCACCTTAAAGAGGACCTGTCACCACCAATATGCTATCACATGGGGGGCTTGTAAGCTATGTGATAGCAATTAAAGTAAAAAAACATAAAAAATAATATCAAGTGAAATAAATGTAAAAATAATGTTTAAACATGTTTTACGTCCCCTGCCCCCGCGAGCATGCGCGTCATAATGTAAACAGGCGTCGGGCGCGCCTACGTACGAAAGCGATGATGGCTCTACCCATGTTGGGTATCACCGTGCATGCCAGAGTGAGAGCAATAATTCTAGGGTCAATATTTATGTGTATCTCTAAAGTGATGACCTGTGGTGGCTTTTAAATCGTCATCTATGGACTTTTTGGGGTACTGAATGTTGTCGCCATTTCAGGGACGCACACAGTTTTTAACCTGGGCATGTTGGGTATCTATTTACTCGTCGTAACCTCAACTTTTATATTTTATTCAAAAAAACTGATATTTGTTGGTGATTTGGGGCACTAAATTTAACTTAAGTGCATCTTTCACATAATGTTTGGGTTTGATAATAAGTTGCGCTAATATCGTGCAACATAAAAAATTAGCAACAGCCAACATTTTATTCTACAGGTTCTTGGCTTTCAGAGAATATATGTTTTGGGGGTTTGAAGTCATTTTCAGGCCTAAAATGTGGATTTTAACATGGGTACAAAAAACAGAAAAGGAAAAAAAAAAAGGCCTTGGTCCTTAAGGGGTTAATGGAAACTCTAAGAAGAAACGTATGTAGTTTGTAATGGAGGAACTATAGAGATTGTAACTCTGGGCTCAATAAAAAGAAACGGTTTATTAAAAAGAAAAAGCAGCTCTGGCTGTAATACTCGTCACCTCGCTCTTTGTGGTTGAATGACGTCCAACATCATTCAACCTGGAAGACTGAGGACATGCTGTGAGTTCAGGGCATCCTGGAGCCACCACCATGGCGCCCCGCACTCAGAGAGCAGAGATGACCTGATCACATCAGCACCATTTGAGGTTCAGAGAAGATCTGAAGAGAAGAGGACCCATCATGTCAATGAGAGTAGTGCTGCGTCCATGCCCGCCTCCAGCATGGCGTCATCATGGAGGATACAAGAAGCAGATGAGAATGATTCAATTGTTCCGTAGCAGAGAGGAACAAATTACTGCACAAGTCAGAAATTTAGGTGAACTGGCCGGATGGTTGTAGCCAGACTCGCCATAAGGCAACGTTTGGCTTGGTGTGCTGGACCATGGTCTAGGTGAGTGCTCCAAAAGACCACTTACCTAGTTGATTTTCAAGGAGCACAGTGGCAGCGCCCCACAAATAGCTTTTTTTATTCCTTCCTCCAATATTAGCCCGGCACCTACAAGGAAGCATGGCTACTTGTATTGCATGAGTGGAGCTACTGCTTGATAGTCTCCTGTAGCATTGAAAGTGGAATCCTCAATCCAGAGACCATGTATGGGGCATATGAAGTACTCGCCCATTGGTGCTACCCAGTAGACAGTAATGGGGGGACGGAATATGTTTAGTGGGGGGAGTCAGGAGCCATCAGCCTCTATTAGACTCCGACTCTCCTCCTCACATCATGTCATTGTGTGTTACCAGCCAAGAGACGTGACCAGTCTCCCCCACACACACTCTCTGGGGTCTCTCATACATTTTAGTACAGGCGGCTTCACTCTCATCTTTATTCACAGACCTCGGAAACTCCTCTGTCAGTAGAGTAATGGGGGGACGGTAGGTGCCCAGTGGGGGAGTCAGGAGCCATCAGGCTCTATTAGACTCCGACTCTCCTCCTCACATCATGTCATTGTGTGTTACCAGCCAAGAGACGTGACCAGTCTCCCCCACACACACTCTCTGGGGTCTCTCATACATTTTAGTACAGGCGGCTTCACTCTCATCTTTATTCACAGACCTCGGAAACTCCTCTGTCAGTAGACAATAATGGGGGGACGGAATGTGTTTAGTGGGGGGAGTCAGGAGCCATCAGCCTCTATTAGACTCCGACTCTCCTCCTCACATCATGTCATTGTGTGTTACCAGCCAAGAGACGTGACCAGTCTCCCCCCCAACACACACTCTCTGGGGTCTCTCATACATCTCACTACAGGGAGCTTCACTCTCATCTTTATTCACAGACCCCGGAAACTCCTCTGTCAGTAGAGTAATGGGGGGACGGTATGTGCCCAGTGGGGGAGTCAGGAGCCATCAGGCTCTATTAGACTCTGACTCTCCTCCTCACATTATGTCATTGTGTGTTACCAGCCAAGAGACGTGACCAGTCTCCCCCCCAACACACACTCTCTGGGGTCTCTCATACATCTCACTACAGGGAGCTTCACTCTCATCTTTATTCACAGACCCCGGAAACTCCTCTGTCAGTAGAGTAATGGGGGGACGGTATGTGCCCAGTGGGGGAGTCAGGAGCCATCAGGCTCTATTAGACTCTGACTCTCCTCCTCACATTATGTCATTGTGTGTTACCAGCCAAGAGACGTGACCAGTCTCCCCCCCAACACACACTCTCTGGGGTCTCTCATACATCTCAGTACAGGGGGCTTCACTCTCATCTTTATTCATAGACCCCGGAGACACTCAGAGGGACATCGAAGCTCAGGAGGAGGAAGAAGAACATGTGAGGATTAAAGAGGAGGAAGTTCCTCCGGAGAACAACAGAGGTGAGGAATAAGTACTAAATACAATATATATTTATACATTTTCTGTTTGAAGGATAAGTGTCCCAAACAAAGGGCATGGGTCATTTTTATTCTCTTCATACCCAACCTAACACACTTGCCCCCTCCACAGATCCATACTTAACTCAGGCTGATGGTCTCAGTTCCATCCAGCACTGCCAGTCTTCTATGTCCGGGCTGCAACTGCGCATTACACCCCCATAGGTGTCTAAACTACAAGTCCCATTATGCCTTTGGGAGTCATGCCTGCAACTGCCAGTCTTACAATGACTCATGGGACTTGTAGTTCCACAACAGCTGGCGGGGCAGAGTTGCCCACCCTTGTGATAATACATAGTATGTTATTAAATAGGGATGCACCGATGCCAATACCGAGTATTTGGGCCAGTACTCATTTTCGCCCAAATGCTTTGATACCTAGCCCGATACCCAAGCTTCCGGTATCAGGAAGCTGGGCAGCGAGTCACTACACGCTGCCCGGCTTCCTGATTGGCCGGGTAGCCGGCTCCATGCTCCTTCGTCACTTGGTGACAAGGGGGCATAGAGCCGGCTTTCCGGCCATTCAGGAAGCCGGGCAGCGTGTAATGACTCACTGCCTGGCTTCCTGATTGGTTGGGAAGATGGTCAATGAGGAAACCGGACGGCGCGTCCTTACCTGCCCCCCGGCTTCTGAAGTGGCCAGATAGCTAGCTTCATGCTCCCTCATCGCCTAGTGACGAGGGAGCATGAAGCTGGCTTCCCGGCCAATCAGGAAGTCGGGCGCCGTTTAATGACTCGTTGCCTGGCTTCCTGATTAATCGAGAAGCTGGCCAGTCAGGATGTCAGGGGGCGAGTCATTACCCGCCCCGCCCCCCCCCGGCTTCCTGATTGGCCAGAAAGCCAGCTCCATGCTTCCTCGTCACCTGGTGATGGCTTCCCTGCTAATCGGGAAGCCGTGTGGCAAGTCATTACACAACGCCCGGCTTCCTTAATGGGACTTCCGGTATCGGTATTCAGTATCGGCGAGTACCAGATAAAAAATATCGGTACTCGTACCCGATACTGAGAAACCGGTATCGGTGCATCCCGAATATTAAAGAGTAAGGCCACCTGTCGCTATTCAGAAAGCAACAGCAGATCAGGACATGCAGGAATCTGTAGCATCCTAAGGGCAGAACATGGAGTTAATTACTACCTTACATGGTTGAGAAGGCTTAGGGCCCAGTCACACCACATCCAGATCATCTCCAGACCAGATTGTTTGCAGACCTAAAATGCATCCTAATGTATCCCTATGCTATTTCTGGCCTCTGTTCACACCAGTGCAGACCGCTCCAGACCAGAAAAATACTGCGTGTCTCATTATGTCTGGTCTGGAATGCACTGGAACTGCGGGTAGGTTCACACCATGTCCGGACCAGAATAGTTTTAGTCTGCACCTGAAAGGCACCCCAATGTAGTCCTATGGTATTTCTGGGCTCTGTCACACCACTTCAGTCCGTTCCACTGCATGCACTATTTTTGTCTGGACTGGAGTACACCAACACACATGTAAACACATCACACATGCATGCAAATACACTGGACTACGGGCCCTGTCACACCATCAAGAGTGCGTTCGGCCTTTGGAACACAACCCGGCCGGCTCACTTTGTTTTGGGGCGGGAGGGGTGCAGCCATGCCTACCACCCGCGGTGCCATCGCCGGCACCCGAACGCATGCCACACTAGTGCCTGCGTTCCGGTCGAGTGCGATCTGCATAAAAAATAGTGTTTGCAGCCTTTTTTTGCAGATCCCACTGGACTGGACCACAGGCACTGATGTGCCACGCGTTTGGGTGCCGGCGATGGCACCACAGGTGGGTTGTGTGGCTGCGGTGCCATTGAGTTCAATGCACCGTCCTGCCCCAAAACAAAGTGAGACCCGGCCGGGTTGCGGTTCAGTGCGTTCCAGAGGCGGAACGCACTCTTGATGGCGTGACGGGGCCCTCAATCTGAAAGCCCATGATGGACACTGGTCCATCAAGTTCAACCTCTATGTGCGTTTTATTTGGAGTCGTTTGGAATTCCGGTACCTCTGGATATTAGATTCACTAAGGAGATCTTGGATTTTTCTCAGCTGACACCCCTACCTGGGGGCGGGGGGGGTCCACAGTTACACTGCTCTTACATTAGAGAACCCCTTCTGTCATTTAAAAGAGAAGTAACATTTTATTTTTTGGCTTTAGTTCTTTTTTTGGGTCACAGAAGAATATTTACTAATGTCCTCCTGTGACCCAAAGTCAATATATAGTCAGCGATCACCTCTGTACAGTTAGTCTTGTGATTGACACACATTTTCCAGTTCTGTGCGGCATTGCGCTTTCCCGTCTCACCAATTCAGCGCCCTATATCAAACCCCAATTACCGCTTCTTCATTGTTCGGCGATTCGACATCCTGCAACAGGAAGCTCACCCGGGAAGAAGCAGAATGATGTCCCTGACTAGCAGAGCAGTGTGTATCACAAGAGTGGCTAGCCAAAGTCACAGCTCCTGTGGTAGGTATACCATCTCCCCTGCGTTTATATTACCTATGAATTTACGCGGATTGCCTGAAGTTCCTCTTTAAATGTGGACCGCTATTGGATTTGGTATCGGACTCTTTCAGGCCCTGGATAGCAGAGCTTTGACTGAGAGGCAGCACTAGCAGCCAATCAGGTGGGCTGCCTAGCCATGAGATGACAAGGAACATGCTGACTGGGGGAGAGAGCAGAACGAAGCTCTCCTCAGTCTGTTGCTGTCCCTTCATTGTCGGGCCAGGGGCAGGGAAGTGATCACACTGCAGTCACTAACCTGGCTATGGTGTCTAGCAGGCCTGGGCAAATCTCAGGACTGTAGGGACAGACATTCAAAGCCTTTGGCAGGTGAATCCCATCCCATATTTGAATTCAGCTCTTTGGCTTTAATGCCTTTTCGTACAATGTGGTCCTATTGAAATGTAGATTGGTTCACTCATCACTCATTCACGGTTCACTCATGTGACTATAATTATGTCTCCTACAGATAGATCCAGGAACAGAAATACCCCAGTGAGATGTCCCCATCCTCTGTATTCCCGGGATTCCATGGAGGAACATCAGGAGATCCCTCAGGCCCGTCCTCTGTATTCCCAGGATTCCATGGAAGAACGTCAGGAGATCCCTCAGGCCCGTCCTCTGTATTCCCGGGACTCCATGGAAGAACGTCAGGAGATCCCTCAGGCCCGTCCTCTGTATTCCCGGGATTCCATGGAAGAACATCAGGAGATCCCTCAGGCCCGTCCTCTGTATTCCCAGGATTCTGCAGAGGAGGATCACAAGGTCCCTCAGGATGATCAGGTAGATGGAGAATATTGTTAAATAATACATTGGGGTGGAATTTGTACAGATGGGGGTTATATGAACTGGACTCCTACCTAGAGCAAACTCTGTATATATTGGTAAAGGGGTTCATAGTAGGGATGCACCGATATATATGCCGCCGAAAATGGCACTTTTGGCAAAATGCCGATAATGCAATTTTTCTGCCGAAATAGCGGTTCATCTGTTCTTTCTCTTCTACCCGCTGGGTGGTGCTCTGTGTCTCAGCCGGGAGGAGAGAAACTGTCACAGGAGGCCGAGCGCTGCGGGAGGAGAGCGCTGTGAACGGCCGGCGTCTCTCCTCCCACACCGCTCAGCCTCCTGTCACAGATCGGGAGAGCGGTTGTGTGGGGGTGGAAACAGCCAGCGTTGTCACAGGAGGCCGACGTTCTGTCGAAATGGCCAGCTCGTCGAGATCTCCAACTCGTGACGCCACATCCGTTGGAGACTTCGACGAGATGGCGCTAGTGCACATGCCCTAGCCGTGGCATCTTTACAAGCCTCGTTTGACTTTCCCATTTGCCGTCAGTACGCCTGTGCGGCCTTGCAATCCTCATCGAGTTCTCCAACTGGCGTTAGTGCTTGTGCCATTGAGTGCCCGCGCAGGCGCACTACCGCAAATTAGAGAACGTGATCCTGCTCTTGGTTGGCCACTGACGGGAGTTTGAAATCTCGACAAGTTGGACATCTCGATAGAACACCGGCCGACGGTGCAGGGGAGAAGTCAGCTGTCAGAGCTCTCCTCCCCGCACCGCTCGCTCAGCCTCCTGTGACAGCTGTCAGGATGGAGAGCGGTACAAGCAGTCAGTGGTCAGTGATCGCTGAGTGTTTGTACATAATTGAGGACAGAGTGTGTTTACTATATCCTCAATTATGAATGAATAGGAAGTGCTCTACATCACTTCCTGTTCATTCATAATTGTAGTTATAGTAAACACACTCTGTCCACAAGTTATGAATGAACCGGAACACTCATAGAGGATTTATAACAGGGGCTGCAGAAAATGACATTGGGGACTCTATGTTCTGTCTCTTTTTCCATTTTAAAAGGAAAATATCAGGGGTCTGTTTAGAGTACAGAGGTCAGTAATGTAACACACAGTGCAGAAGTCAGGGTGACACAGAGCGCAGAGGTCAGCGTGACGCACAGCGCAGAGGTCAGGGTGACGCACAGTGTAAGGAAGAAAGAAAAGCGACTTACAGTGCACTTAGAGTGGAACTTCCTATATATATATATATATAATTTATATATATAGGAATACGCTTGAGTATTACTTGGCCAGTGCACTGGAAGCAGAACAGCAGATCCCCATGGACGCAGGCATGTGGCAGCTCAGTGTAATGGCCCTCCTGCTGTGCTAATGCGGCAAGGGCCTAAGTACCCGAATTTAACTTGGTATCAGCCTCTAGCAACTGTACAGCAGAGCTCAGAATGGGAGAGAAGCAGAACTAGCCAATCAGTACATGTGCTCATGTGCTGACAAGGGACACGCTGATAGAAGGAGATAACAGAGTGATAAGACCACCAGTCTGTTGCATCAGGTGTCCTTCCGCCCAGCCAGTCACAGATGTGCTGTGTAATCCTTGGAACTGGATGGACAGAAATACAAATCCTTGGCAGGTAACCATTGTCCATGTACGTGATGTATCTGTGTATTTGGCTTTCAGCTTTACTATCTATATGGTTTTGTGTTACTCAGGGTGACAGCTTGGCTATTACCAAAGTGGTGGCTGTAGACCCGTCTGTGAAAGGTGATGAGCCGTGTAAGGAGGAGGAAGTTCCTGTCGAGATCGGCACAGGTGAGTACAGAAGAAGTGGAACTCGTAGTGATTTGTCCTTTTAATACCTCATTTATAATCGGATTCCTTTGAATATTGCGTATGAATGTTCTGTGCTTTTCTATGCCGCCAGCAGGTGGAGCACTGCGACTGGTTTCAATGTGTTTTCCTTCGTACTAAAAATGTTTCCTGTTTACAGAGCTCAGTGGCTCAAGGTGAAATTTACACACACGCCCCGAAAACCGAAAATGTTTTTTACTTGAACTTTTTCAAATCGTTTATATTTATTTATTTTTCTAATAAACTTTTAATTTTTTTTCTATATTTTAGGTTTTATTTATTTTTTATTAAATATTTTTATTTTTTTTACTTTTAGGGGTTCGGGGAAATATTAGGGATATAAAGAAAAAAGGTTGAAAAAACATTTCTAAAATGTAAACAAATAGTAAAAGTAAAAAAAGAAATAACCATATATTAAAAAAGAAAAAGAAGAAAAAACAATTGGGCAGAGCTAGCAGTTTCCTATTGGCCGGCACCTGCTAGAGTCTTCTAGCAGGTCCCGGCCAATGAACAACATCTGGACAGTTGTTATTGTTTAATGACAGATCAGCGTCCCCAGGTCATCTGGGCGGAGCCAGTCTTTGAGATCACGGCTGGCTCCACCCAGCTGCCATTTGCAAGGCTTACGGCCGGCCTTTGTTTGGGATATGTCATTTTGGCACAGCTGGAGTGCCAAGGTTCGCCACCACTGCGCTATAGTGAATAGCTCGTACAGCAGCCCTTCCGTTCGACTGAACCGAAGGTCTCCGGTGGCCGAAGAGAGCCGAAGGATCAGCCGAAGCTACGCCTGGATCCTTCGCGAATAACCTTCGTTTACCTTTCTGACCACGTTTTATGTTACACCCATGTTCAGGGTGTATCATGATACATAGTCCGATCACAACCCCCCTCCCCTTTACCTGAATCGTGGGGTCCTTCTCCCCAAAGTCAGCTGTATACATTTCAATTTGATCGGAGCCACGCACAGCCGCGTCATCCATTCCCTGATCCTTTGACAGGATATGTAAATGGAGAAAACTACAAGCCCCATCAGCCAGCGTGGCAGAGGGACTTGTAGTTTTCAATGTAACACTATCTTTGTATTCCACTGCCTAATCCATCCCCCATTTCCTCCCGCTTTCTTATCTCCCCTAGATGGACGGTACAGAAGGTGCGGTTTGGAGAAGAGTCCTGCCATGTCAAATAGAGACGTAGAAAATGGTGATATGGCGGAGTGTTCCATGACACCAGTTCTTCCTCACAGTGCAGATCCCTCATCCAAACCCTCTACACGTTTTCCTCCCGTCACCCATCACCCAGCCGGTAGAGGTGGTGACCCGTTCCCATGTTCCGAGTGCGGTGAATACTTTACGCAGACAGAGAACCTCACCTCACACCTCGAAACCCACACAGGAGAGAAGCAATACTGGTGTTCAGAGTGTGGAAAAGGCTTTGCCAGAAAATCGCATCTGGCTTGTCACGAGAGAACTCACACGGCCGAGAAGCCGTTTCCTTGCCCCGATTGCGGCAAGTGTTTTACCCAGAGGGGAAACCTTCTTTCACATCAGAAGGCTCACATGGGGGAGAAGCCGTTTTCATGCCCCGAGTGCGGGAAATGCTTTTCTCGGAAGGAGCAGCTCATCAGACACCAGACATCCCACACGGGCGAGAAGCCCTTCTCGTGTTCCGAATGCGGGAAGCGTTTCACCGAAACCCGTTATCTCATCTCGCATCAGAGGACTCACACAGGGGTGAAGCCGTATTCGTGTTCCGAATGCGGGAAATGCTTTTCTTGGAAGTCGGTTCTTATCAGGCACGAGAGGACCCACACGGCGGAGAAGCCATATCCGTGTTCTGTGTGCGGGAAGTGTTTCTCCCAGAGGGGAAGCCTCATCTCTCACCAGAGGACTCACACGTCTGAAAAGCCGTACCCCTGCTCCGAATGTGGCAAGTGTTTTACCCAGAGGACTACTCTCATCTCTCACCAGATGACTCACACGGGGGAGAAGCCCTATTCCTGCCTGGAGTGCGGGAAGTGCTTTTCCCAGCGGGCCACTCTCACCGCACACCAGAAGACACACACAGCCGAGAAGCCATTTTCCTGTTCGGAATGCGGCGACTGTTTTTCTCGGAAGTCGTCTCTTATCCGCCACGTTCAAAGATCGTACAGGGAGAGGACATATGTGTGTTCGGAATATAGGAAATGTGTTAGTGAAAGATCAGAGACTACTAAACATGACAGAACAGACTTGAATTCATATTCCGAATAAAGAGACTTTATTAAATCCGGAAGACGAGACACGCGATGTTGTTAAAGTGTATCTAAACCCAAGAACCCAATCACCCGGTGATCCTGCCATCAACACGCTTCCTGTTCTAAGGTGACCACGCTTACTCACTGCACTATAGCTATGGAGGAGCAGCGTTGTCACCCTAGGACGGGAAGTGTTTTAGGGCTACAGAGCCCCGCCCCCTTTCCTCATCTCTTTAACATAGGAGGGAATTATTCAGAAGTTTACAGAAGTGAACTGGGCAAGGCTGGGAACGCCACTGGAGATTTCAAGGGGGGAACCGAGGATCGGGTGAGTATATCATTATTTTCCCTTGCAGTGGCGTAACAATCGCCATAGCGACCCAGGCGGCCAATATGGGGCACAGGGGGGCCCAGCTAGGACATCCCCCTGATGCCATGTGGGTCGCTATGGCATCTCAGGCTGCTGGCTGTCACTGACAACCTGTCACTAATTTGTGCAGAGGCGCGTTCCTCCGCTGCTGAGTCGGTAACAACCAGCAGCTTCGGAGGAGGTGGCTGGGCCCGTCGTCACCAGCGATGGAGGAGGCGGGGACCCGTGATGGAGGAGGAGGGGCCCGACAGGGACCGTGGAGGAGAAGGAAACTGACAGAGGATCGGGGCTGACAGGTCATCTGAGACCCTGCAGAGCCCACCATAGAGAGTCTATGGTGGGCGTCACTCTCAGGTGGGCTGTTTGGGGTATCAGGTGGGCGTAACTAGAAATCACAGGGCCCCATACAAAATGTTGCTATGGGGCCCTGTGATTTCTAGTTACGCCGCTGTTCCCTTGCAGTGCGGGGTAGCCCCATAGCAAGGGTTGGCTTTTCAAAATCCTGGAGTTCCAATTTAAACTCAAATATTTTTTTTTTTCAATACCGAACTCAGATGACACAAATATCGATCGCCCACCAAAGTATTTCTTTACCCAACGCACTTACAGTCATCATGTTTTCCAAATAGCTCCAACTCTCCCAGCTCGGCTTCCCAGAACTTCCTGTCCAGTACAAGATCACAAGGGACAGAGCAGCTTCCGGCAGCCGTCCATCTACTACCTAAGGAGCAAAGGAATGGCTGTGCGTTTGTAGGGAGACACGGCTTACTAGCACACACAAGGGTGGCTCCATAGGACCCTGCAGGGGAAAGGAACCACCTTAAAACAGGGTATCGGGGCCAGTACTCAGGGGGACCTTCTGATTCTGCAGCAACATGAAGGATCAGCATCCACTGTAAGTGATTTAACCAGCATTAAAACAAATTCACTTGAAGACAACAATGGAGCCGATATCAGAAGTTCACAGTCACAGTTTCCGTGGGTGGTTCGAGGTTCTTGGTTCACCCCGTGGCAGCTGAAGGGGGCACTACAAGGGCCCCGTGATTGCTAGTCATGCCACTTGCAGAGCCCCAGCGGAGAGTGACCCTGCAGAGCCCGCCATAGACTCTCTATAGTGGGGTCTGAGATCTCTTACCTTTTTATCCAAAATTGACTGCGCTAGGAAGGTGAATAAAATTTAATTAAAGTACCAGCTGCAACAATGTGTATCAGTGTGATCAGATGTGAACGAGTATGTTGAGCTTGGTTGAAATCTCTTACGTGCGATTTTGTTTCAATCTTTCATTGTGATAATGTCATCTTTTAAACACATAAGTGATTTATATCATAGAGTGAAATAAAGAATTAAATATATATTAAATAAAACATGCAAGTGAATAATACCAATTAATAAACCTTATCTCATCTTATAATTATTTGATCTCTACTACATGATGGTATTAGTGAAAACAGCACATATATAATCTGAATGTCACCCGTGTAACTATATGTGATAATTATGTGAATCACTATAAACGATATAAATATAACAAGGTTATATAACAGAGGAAGAAATTATTAGATGAACGGCAGAGTCCAACAAAAAATATATATATAACGGCCAAATGAAAAGACCGCTATCTATCCACCCTGATAGAGTGGGATTGTTTTAGGCATACAATTTCCCGAGGTCAGTTTGTCCTATTTATACAATGTCTCAGTTCGGAGTGTGCTTATGGGAGGAATCAAGTTCTTGGAATCAAACTGCGAAAATGAATGATGGTACGTTGAAAATAACCAAGTATCTGTTACTTTATCTTCCGTCGACGGATCCACGGAGCTCCTATTTTCAGCCTCTGTTTCCTCTCCTTCATACAGCTTGCTCTCGTTGCCGATGGTCCGCACCCTCCAGGTGTAATTGGGGAGTCCAACCAAGAGAGTGGGGAAAAGTAGAAGCCACATACCGTACAGTAGAAACGGTCGCACGTCTCCGTTCACACTGCTCGATTCTCGTACGATCGCGCTCCGATCCGCCAGTGCTGACTTGCGGTATACTGAGCCTAGGGTGACGGGAGTATACTGAGCCTAGTTTGTGTCCTCCCGTTACCCTAAGGAGAACTATGGGGAAAAGACTTAACCCCATAGTTCTCCTTTAATGAGCAAACCTTAGTATACTAAGCAAAAGGATCATCCGAATTTCGAATCGGAACGAAACGAAATCGCACATGCCAATATATATATATTGAACAGACCGAATGGTAGCCAATAAGGGAAGTTCCTTTTTAGGGTCCACGTACACTTTAAGGTTAGTGTTCACGGTTTCAAGTTCCTCTAGAGCAGTGGTTCTCAACCTATGTAGCCTCAGGACCCACATTATTGGTCACTAAATTTTGGGGTTTAATAAGGAGGTGCGCTAATATTGCGCAACATAAAAATTTGCAACTACCACCATTTTATTCTATTGGGTCTTGGCATTCAGAAAATATATCATGTTTGGGGGTTTTAAGTAATTTTCAGGCCTAAAATGTGGAATAAAACATGGGTGCAAAAAATGGGGGGAAAAAAGGCGTCAGTCATGAAGGGGTTAAACAAGGACAGGAAGCTTATCGAAATCTGATTTTAGCAGACTGTTTAAAAGCTCATTGTAAATGGCTATCATGACAGCACCTAGTGGAGGCTTAAATCAGAGACTGTTATATAGACCCAATCATTAAGCCATTAAAGGCGATATACAGTTGTCTTCCGGGAGTTGGAATAGCCACCCCGCCCCCGGCAAGGCACCTTATCCTCATGTTGATTGTACACCGAGGTGTTGTACCCGGACTGACCACAAGGTGGCAGCAATGAATAAGCCGTCACTACTTTCCAATAAAGATCCTCCAGAATCTCCGCCATGACATTGTTACTTCATAGAAGAGAGCTCAGATCAGAAGACAAGGAAACATTGTAAGAACATTTGATCACAGTGATCATATTCATCTCCCGGCTCTGTATAGAAAATATCTGTGGAGTCCCTACTGCACTTGTGTGTTCCAGACAACAGGAGGGAGAATGTTAATAAGTAGCCGTGTTCCTGCAGCTCTAATAAGTTACCCTGAATGATAAAATATTACAAATCATAGATTATTACATACAAGTGTCATCCCGAAGTCACCTCGGGCAGCACACATATCTTTGTATGAGAAGGTGGGTGGCCCTGAGAAGGACCTTTGTGTAGATGGAATAAGTGATCGGGGTGTAATTAGGGCACTGGCGGAACTACCAGGGTCGCAGCGGTCGCACTTGCGACCAGGACCTGGTGTTCCGCCAGTTCGGGGCAGGGGCCCAGAGAGAAGAGGATGGCACAGCGAAAAATCCGATTGGCCGCTAAATATATTTTTATAAACTTTATTTTTTTATTGAATATTTTTAATTATTTTACTTTACTGTTGGGAGCTTTGGGGACATAGTAGGGGCCTAAACAGACCCCTGATATTTCCCTTTTAAAATAGAAAAAGAGATTGAGGACACAGAGCCGTCAATCCTATTTTCTGTGTCCCCTGTTATCAATGATCAGGAATCCTCTATAAGTCTTCCTGTTCATTCATAACATGAGGACAGAGTATGTTTACTATAACCACAATCATGAATGAACAGGAGGGGATGTAGATCACTTCCCATTCATTCATAATTGAGGATATAGTAACCATACTTTGTCCTCAATTCTCTACAAACACTCAGCGATCACTGATCAGTGACTGCTTGTACCCCGCTCTCCCCTCTGACACACAAAAAAACCCCCTTTCAAACCGGTTTGAGAAAAAAAAGGGGTGAAAATCATGGGGTTTTTTTTGGGGGGGGGGCCTTTAATGGTTTCTTGCACCTGGGCCCTGAGGTTTCTAGTTACGCCTCTGAATTAGGATTTAACCCCCGAATGCGTAGAGAGTGCGTCCCTGACGTTTGAGAGCATAGACGACATCCATGGCGGTGACGGTCTTCCTCTTGGCGTGCTCAGGAGATATCTGGACGGGGTGATGTGTTGGATATCTCCTGTATACTGGATGGGGTGATGTGCTGGATATCTCCTGTATACTGGAAGGGGTGATGTGCTGGATATCTCCTGTATACTGGACGGGGTGATGTGTTGGATATCTCCTGTATACTGGACGGGGTAATGTGTTAGGAATGAAAGGATGCCGCATCGTTTGATGGAAATGAAAAATGATCGACCTACAGAGGGCTGAATTCACAGACCTCCCCAAAAATCAAAGTGAACAAATGATGCAGCAGGCTAGTCCATTGTGCTGACATTTCATTGCAGCAACTCAGAATGGTACTCATTAGTGTGTATGCCCCCACGTGCTTGTATGGATTTCTGACAATGTTGGGGCATGCTCCTAATGAGACGACGGACGGTGTCCTGGGGTATCTCCTCCCAGATCTGGACCAGGGCATCACTGAGCCCTGAACAGACTGAGGTGCAACCTGGCGGCGTCGGATGGACCGAGACATATTGTGCCAGAGGTGTTCTTTTGGATTCAGGTCAGGCGAGCGTGGGGGCCATTCAATGGTATCAATTCCTTCATCGTCAAGGAACTGGCTGCATACTCTCGCCACACGAGGCCGGGCATTGTCATGCACCAGGAGGAACCCAGGACCCACTGCACCAGCGTAGGGTCTGACAATGG